TGAAAGTTTGATGGGATTTTATAGTGTTTTTCAAGGAAGTATTTTGTGTGTGTAAAGAATTTTTGTTTAATGGCAACAAAAATCCTTATACATATAAAAAAGTGGCAACAAAAATCCAAAATTGATTTCCATGGCAACAAAATTCCTTTGCCATATTAAAAATTGGCAACCAACCTTAAGCCATCCAATTTTGTCCAAGTCAATTATAGCAACAAGATAACTTTATTTGTTTTTCAAATTTTGACACCCAAAATTAAGTTGAAAAACAATGAGTAGGCCAACCTTTTACCTTTTACTTAATAATAAAAATTAAAATTTAATTATAAAAATTTATCAAACTTCAAAAAATTTCTTGAGAGGGCGATAATGCATAGAACAAAATCAATTGTGTTATTCTGTGTAATTTGTGGGGTATAGTGGATTAATCGCGACAGTATTTTATGGAGAATCAAGAATTGCAACCACAAGAAATAAAACTAGTGAAACGATGATACAAGAGGGAAACTTGAATTGAAATAATAGCAAAATCCTTGATAGAATCTTATGATCATTTTTCTATATTTTGTGTGTAGAGAGTACACTATTGAAGGTTCAAACACGATTTAGTATATGAAAGAGACTATTTTGGTCCTTTCCCATTGTGTTTTATTAAACTATTGTAATTTTGGGATCCTTTTCCTATTATATTTTTAGATATTCAATTAATAAGTACAAATCACACACACAAATATAAAAGTATATATATATATGTACACATGGGAAAGGGAAAATTAGGGTGTCTTGGCATTAAATATGCGCACGGGTGTCTAATAATAGCTACATCATGAATTCTATAATGTTAGGACCCACATTATACTCAACACATTTAATGGTTGTGGTTGAACATCTTGACATTTTTAATGCAGGACGTCTTGATTTTCCCTTTTCTCATGTACACACATTTATTTAACAATATTAAATCTTCTATTATCAATAAAATGGTTACTTATTTTCGATTAACATTAAAATTGAAGTATATGACCTACGTGAACATAAATTTTAATTCAATGGCAATTTTTAAAAATATTAAGTAAAATATG